CTTCCTTCATCCCCCTTTTGGGGCTGCACCAGCTCCTTGCAAACTTATTGTCTGCACTCCACTGCACTGTACCCCCCCAACCTTTCATCACACTGCCCAGGGGTCACACCCCATAGTTTGAAAACCACTGATTTCAGATGTTCTTGTATTAATACAAGTATTTCTTAATACTTTCTAATTTCTCTCTATAAAAGTCTATTCCGTGTGTGTCTACATGAGATGCTTAATGCCCATTGGCCTGATTTTACTTCACATTAGCGTGGCTGGCAAAAACTGCGCTAATCTGCTAATGCACAGTAGATTAGTCCAATGGGCATTAAGCATCATGCAAAAAGCATTCATTTGTGCTAATGCACAGTAGTGCCTATTACAGTGTATTAAGTTAGCACTGGTTATTGCAGGTACCGAACTTAATGTGCTGTAATTACGGTGCATTAATGAATGTGCAGCCTTCTTCATTCATCATAAGTAGTTCAATTGATTAAATTCTGGTTTCACTTACATCAGTGAGTGACAAAATTCCCATTGGTATCAATGGACAGTTTCACCCTATATCAGAGGTGATCAAATCATGGCTGGTGAGCCACACACAGCTTGCAGGAAGCTTAAATGCAGCTCCTGAAAAAAAAAAGGAAGAAAAATGAATGGTCTTAGTAATCTGTTCATTTATTATTTCCTATTTTATTTTCCTCAGTTCTTGCTTGTTATAGTTTTTTCCAAGTCATTTAATAACAAATTATTATTGGAGTCATGGCACTATGTGGAGATCACTGCTTCTGTGGTATGCATATTGAAAAAGTTTGCATCCTGGGATCTTGGTTGTATCAAAACTTTGCTTTGTGGCTAAAGTGCCCATGAAAATTACACCCCATCCTTCACATCTCTGCCATTATATATGTTTTTGTAACCATTCACAGAGTTGAGAGTAATGCCTACAGAACTGACCTGTTCATTAAGAACCTTTAGAATGAAGTTTATTTGTCCAGACTCTTTAGTGAAGAGCTGTACATGGCAGGCATCTTAGAATTGGTTTGAGAAGGATTTGTGAACAGAAAAAAATAATGGATGTTAATGTTCTTATGAAGTTGATATCCATTATTAATATAATTGGCTATAGCATTCATAAAAATGACTTTATCAATGGTAGCATGCAGATAAGGGGTTACATTGTACATAGAGATTGTTTTCCCCAACATAACAAAACTATATTATCAAACATAGGTACTGAAGGTAAATTAAACCTGTTTCAAACTTGAAGGCTGTAGGGTTTTTCATCTCCCAGGTGTCTTAATAATATAGGACATATCAAACTGCTACTGATATGATGGGAATCTCTCTATTGACTTGCATTTTAGTTTTTATATGCTTAAACTAATATTTAAGCATGTAAAATGTGAATAATTTCATTATTTTCAGTGGGAATAATAGTGTGAATAAGGTTAAGCATATGCTTGTTTATAGGATCAAGACTATACTCAGCCTTAGATTTAAAAACTTGACTTAATGTTTACATGTATAGATTTTATAAATAAATAAATCTAGTAACATAAAAAATCCTTCCACTAAGATTTAAATATGGTACAAAATATTGGACAATTATAGCATTTCTGAATTGATGAACTTCATGTGATCTTTGCAGAACAGCACCATGGGAAGCTTTTAGACAACTAACTGGAACCAAGCAGACTTTAACCAGGTGAAATATTTTATTTTAGGCAAAAAAAAGTAAAACATATGACTATTTTCTTTTTATAATTGTATTTCTAGCTTTGTTATTTCAATAAAAACAGGTAATCCTCTTTCATTTATTTTCTGTACTGCTTTAGATATGCTTAGAATATTAGTTTTCCAAAAGTTATGAGTTTTAATGTAAAGTTCTGTCTCTGATGCAAATATATCCACCCAACTGTGAATAAATACAGTTATGCTATAGGGGTGGGGACACTGGCTCACTGACAGAGACTAGTTTGAGAGCAACATCATATTGCAATTGAACAGCTAGATGTTTAGTGGCCTGTAACAGTGATACAAGTTGGAAGCAGAGCCATGCTGGGAAAGACCATTTTCTTTTTCAGGTTTTTAAAAAAATATATTTTATTCTAGTTTGGGCTAAGTAGAATAGCTGCATGGCAATCTGTCTGACAGCCTAACTTGGGAGCATCAAACTCTGGAGACCTTGAGGTCCCCACTGGAATCTATGGTGGCCATCTAGTAGACTGAATGGAAGTGGAGCATCTCGAAGTCCTGATAAGAGTCCCAGAGTGCATTTAACTGTCCACATTTACTGCACAGTAATTCAGATTACGATGCAGTAACTGAAAATTGCTGTGCAGTAAGGGCACACGTCTACATGTGCATGCCCATACAGCTCAGTAAATATGGTGACTTAAGCTGACTTGGATGTAAATTTGATACCCATATCATGTAGGTAGCAAATTTACACCCAATTAGTTACTGTGCAGTAACACTTTGTGTATCGACTGACTTGGGACTAACTTTAGTCCCAAGTCAGTCCACACACAGTGTTAATGTGCTTTAATGGCTACATGTGTAGACACCAGCCTAAAAACTGCTTACTGAATGGTAATTTACTGCACAGTAAATTACTGCATAGTAAATGCATGTGTAGATGTGCCCCAGTTGCCCATCAGCACATCAGGTGGACTGCCAAAGACAAGCCAGGAAGGCAAAGTGATAGGAAAGCTAGGAAATTGATTAAAATATAAATTTTATATTTAAAATATTTATATTTAAAAAACTATAACATACATTGATTTTTGATCTGATAGTCTCCAACAGAAAAGAAAAAACAAGGATAAAAACAAGGGAAAAAACAAGAAAAATGCTATATAACCATTTCCATTGAGCACTAACCAGTACTATTGCTTGGAAACTAGAGGAGAGATCTCAGAAACAGCTTAAAGTTTGCACCCATTTTTGGATAAAATGAAAGCTCTTCAGAAACAAAATTTGTCTTAATATCAAATGTCACTGGGCAACCAAGAAAGCAGAATAAAGATAGATTCATTGCAATAGAAGGTAGTGGTGTGATCTAAAATACAGCAAAGGTTATACAAATTACTTGAAACAAGCTTACTTCGCATTCTTCAAGGCATTTTTAATAAGAAAAAAATTAACAATTTAAAGCAGAATTAAAAATTGTAAAAAGATTGACAGTGGTATGGGTTTTATTGCAAAGTGATTTTCAGTAAAGCAAGATAGCAAATAATAAAAATGATCATTGTTACCTATCCTATATATACAAATCTGCGTATCCTACATATATGAATTCTTGAATATACAGCAGGGAGAGCTCAATTAGGATCACACAGAGATCTAATATTGTGTAAGGAGCTTCTTCCATAATTCAGTTTATGACATGATTAGGGAAATTACAAAGATGACATTAGGCAACACAGGATGCATTTAATTAGTGCATTGGCTTGAGTGAGTTACTGGGTCAGTTAGTGTCCAGTAGGCTCAATAAGGATGCCTCCTTACATTCATTAAAATAAATATGTCACTTCTTCTTCCAAAACACTAGGTTTGGCATCAAGCCAAGGAATTAGAAAGCTTTAGAAAGAACACTGTACATGAAAAGAGATAGCAAAATGTTAAGACCATTTTGTAAAGAGCAGAAGACTCTAAAGTCTAATAGGCTAATAAGCAAAGGAGAAGAGGACCAATTATAAATTCATGGAAGCAGAAACATCTCTTGATTGGAACAGCAGGTTTTAAATCTAAGCTAAAGAGCTTTTGTCCCATTTATAACCAGATCACAACAAGTCACCACTGTCACCTTCATACGTTTTCTTTAGTTTTTATTTAGTGAATTCCAGTGTTCACAAACCTTAATGAATTATCATTTTTAGGAGATGATTCAAAATGCAAATTTTAATTATACAAAATCTGCATAAAAATAAACCATTCGTTTAAGTATACAGAAGAACTGAAAATTGGAGGATGTAAGAATATTTATTGGGAAATGGAAGGTGTCTAAATTAGTACCACCCAAAAGTTCCTATCAGTCTAAACACCGATCTTTGTTTTACATGAAAAGACACCTTGCATACTTACCATGTTTATGTCCTAATTGCAGCTGCTTCCCTGATCCTTCAGACTACACAAAGCCCACATTGGTCCATTTTTCCTGAGCATCATTTCAAATTTGAAGCCAAAAACCGTAATTCTTAAATTGACAAATGTATTGCAAAGACTCCATGCGGGTATAAAAATATTCCACTCTTCCACTAGGGACAGCATTTATTAGACAAGAAATTAGCGTGTTCTGATTTCAAGAATCAGGTGACCAAAACATATAATTAAAGAATTTTTTTTTCACATTACTAAACTTCATCTTAGCCCACAAGAAACAGAAAAGCAACTGACTACAGTAAAAGACAAGCATGAAAATTTTTTCTAAAACTAAATTTGCATACATTGGGCATGTCTACATGTGCCTATTAATCCATTTGAATAAACTCTAGAGTTTATCATTTCAGAGTTTATTCAAGCTGGGTGTGCATCTGTGTGTGTGCTCAGGATTGCAACACATGGAGCTGGGGCAGAGGAGCCTTGGCAAGAAGGGAAACAAAGGGGTCAGCCTGCCAGGACCAGGACTACTCCTTCTGGCTCAGGGTGCTGTAGAGAGGCTGACTGGAGCACAAGGGTGCTTCAGCACAGGGCTAGCTGGCAGGCAGCCCCCACGGTGAAGCACCTTCATGCCCCAGCCAGCCCTTCCAGTGTCTATACATGTAGTGCTGCAGAGTTTTTTACTCCACAGCACCCAGTACTTGTGCAAGTACTATCCTGCTGCAGACTAAATGAGTTTACTGCAGCCTAATAGTGGAACACATATAAATGAGAAATATTTACTGCACAACTAATTAGCCAACTGCACAGAAAATGTTTTGTGTAGACATGCTCATTGATTTGCCAAAATTAAGTAGCGTATGGTATAAGGTCTTGTTGCTTTATTTTGAACATTTCTTTTTTTTGCTACCAGTAATCAGAGTCAAGTCTTTGTGGAGAATCTGACTAAGCTGTCTATATTAATAGATCTAGTGTGCTGCCAATTTCACCATCTCTGTCATTTATAAATTGCAATGAATGTGCTTATTATGGTTGGATTACTTAAAATTCACACCATGTTTCTTTCTCTTGATATTGAAGTTCACAATCTTAATAGGCCTACTCCTTAGAGTAGAAAATGTTCCTTAATTCACATTAGATGATAAATTAATCTCTGCATTTCATTGTTACTAAACTTTGATCTCTAATATTTCTTGCAGCTTAGCCCACGGGACCTTTCTAGTAGAATTTTGCAGTTCTATTGCCAAGAGATGGCTCTATGATTAATGAATTTTTTACATCAAGTTTGAAATTATTCTCTTTATCTGTGCATGTTTCAGGGAGGGCCAGCAATCTCCAGAACAGTGGCAGAAAATGTATGGCAGATGCTCTGGTAATGAAGTGTATCATATTAACCTGGAGGAGAGTACATTTTTTGCTGAGTATGAGGGGAAAAGCTTCACATATGCTTCTTTTCATGCACATAAAAAGTATGTTCCTTTCCTTATTGCAGGATTAAACATTCAAACAAACAAATTGTTTATGTTGTGCTATGAAAGTATTGTACTAGAAGGCCCCATATTGTGTATTGTTTTCCTCTAGTTTTAAATGTCTGTTTACCTTTATAAACTTCACAGTTCTTTTGTAGTTATGTTAGTCATGCTAATCAAAAGAAAACTCCTCTTAGTTGTGAACATGTCAAGCCAGCCTTACTAATGCAATGAAGATGGGTCCTGTTGCAGGCAATGTGAAGAATGGGTCTGGAAATTAGAAGGATGCATACATCTAAAAAAATTGAATAGTTAAAATATAGGTCATTAAGTTGTACCCTCTTCTTTACCCAATTCACCCTACAAAGCGTTTTTGTTTGTTTGTTTGTTTTCATTTTGGGTCACTTTTGAATTTGAGCTTCTTTCACAACATGCCTGTTCTATTCAAGGTCAACTTCAAATGGAACTGGTATATGTCTTCTGAGGACTACCCTAACAATAACAGAATATTTCTAGAAATAACCTTAAGAATACTTATGATACTTTCTTTCTTGATGTTATAGGTCTTGTACAGGTTAAAAAATATATCTATAGGCGGTGCCATGCAGGAAGAGCCCAAGCTTATTTTGCAAGCTTGATCAGCTTGTTCAAGCAAATTTAAAAATTGGAAACAGTATAACCATAGTAACCCAATGCTGCTCGGGGCTAATAGGCTCTCCTGGGAAATAGGGTTTACTGGCCTGGATAAAACTCTGTGTTAGTACATCTGTAATGCATTTGATTCCATAGCTAGCACGAGCAGACCTATCTTTTAATAATCTCTACATGGTGCTACATTGTGCAGTGTAGACATACCATCATTATCAAATACATTGTTACTGAAACATGCACTAGACCTAATCCAACTTCATCTATTAACAACCTCACAATCTCAACTAATTTCCAGATTTCTTTAAACTATGCTTCAAATTGTGCCCTGATTGCTTTGCAGTACTCACTTAGTTTGTATGTTGTATGTTTGTATCTGCTAAAAAGATGGTTTGAAATAAAATTAATGATAAAACTAGTAACCTGTGATTAACGTATACATGAAAAAATATCTCAAAATCATTTTAATGGACTGAAAACTGAGGTGTCTTTCAAAATTTTGAAATGAAAAAGGTGCTATCTTTTTAATTCTTTATCTTCTACTGATCAAACAGCTTTTTAAGAATGAGTAATTAAAACATATGGTGAAATAGTTTCATTTGAAAGGTGCATAATGGAGCAATTTAGTGGGAAGAATAATTTCTCATAACAGAGTTGAATTCTTCTTTTAATGTACTCTCAGAAGGGAATGTGTTTCTCATATGAGAAATTAAGTGAAACAACATTAGGAGACTACAGTTAGCTATCAAAAACTTTTAAAAATAACTTGGGACTCAGAGCCCTTAAAAACAGTGCTTGATTACAAATTGCTTATTCTGGAGATAATTTTATTAAATACAGTATTTTTCCAAATACATTTCTTATCCAAGAAAATGACTGTGTGGGCAGCCTACAACAAGTAAATTGGACTAAATCAGATATTATTATTGACATATCCATTTTCTTGTATTCTGTTGTGTCACATTTAATGAACTGTGTCTTTTCCTCTTTTAATTAGGTTTGGAGTCTGTTTGATTGGTGTTAGGAGAGAAGATAACAAAAATATTTTGCTGAATCCAGGCCCTCGATACACAATGAGCTCTACAGATATATGTTTTTATATAAATATCACCAAAGAAGAAAATTCTGCTTTTAAGAAGCAGGAAGAAAATAGAAAAAACAATGAATCAAAGGCATGCTATCATGGACCTTCTAGGTTACCAGTACACAGTATAATTGCCAGTATGGGTAAGTCAAAGTAAATCTCATAAAGTATTCTTACACTATAAACAGTACATTTTTGATCTTTCAATGATTTTTCCTAACACACTAATGCCCTTTCTTAGTGATAACATTTTCCTTGATTTCTTTTAAATATATTTACTTTATTTGTTAAAAAGTTATATTTATGTTAGATTCCCTCTTTTTTGATAAAATCAGCATGGATGGTCTTTAAGAGGAAGCAGGTAACCCTATTGAAGAAACCCAGCTGTGAGCATTTAAGCAATGAAGGAGTATCCCACTAGTTTAAAACTCTGCAAGGGAAACCAGAACAATGTAAACTGTGTGAAGCAGCAGTTTGCAGACAGGAGGCAAATTGGACCCCAAATAAGTTTGCTGCCAGGAAGGGGTCATACTATTGTCCTGGGATCAAAGGACTACCACTAAGAGAAAGGCCAAAGGTTTGTGTTTGCTGGTTTATTTGTTTGTTTGATGCAAGGATTGTGCTTTTGTATTTTAAAAGACTAGCTGAGTTGCTCTGTAGGGAGCAAAGCCAGCTGGCAAAGCAGAAAACTCACTAATTCACTTATGTAGCATAAATGATATTGCCTTGTGGAATACATCAGGAAGATATGATAGATAGAATTATGTAACTGACAAAACGTGAGGTAAATAATACTACTCAGTCCTCTATAATTAGTCATGTTCTGAAGAAGTCCACAAATCTATTTAAAAACTTGACAAAGTTTAGACTAGATTGCAGGTGGAGCAGCCAGGTATAATATTAACTTGACCAAAAGAAGAGATCTCTAAATTTGGAGGAATATCCAAGTGAAAAAACAAGCACAGGAGTTCCCATATCACCAGCATCCTGTAAGTTGACATAAGAGTAGGCCCAATAGAAATAAATATTCTTGTGATGACCCTTTGATAGCTAGAAGCCATCAAGTAAAAGCTAATGCCTGAAATCAGGTTGGACTCAGAGAAGGAGCATAAAACAAGCGTTGCCATCACTAATACCCATCTCATTTAGCTGTTTTAGTCAGGCATGATCTTGCCTTGAGCAGGGGACTGGACTAGATAACCTTGCAAGGTCACTTCCAGCCCAGCTTTATCATGATCCTATGATCCACCAAGTGTCACAGATCCCAGACTTGATGCCTGTGTGTGCATATCAGGATCATTTATTCATAGAGACACTGCAATCTCTTGATGTCTCTAAAATACCATGCTCTAAAATTAGACCTTGATTCATTATGTATTAAAGCAATATTTTTGATCTAGCTAAAAGTACTGACAATCTAAAAACATCCCCTGTGATGATTTCCTATGTTTATGAATAAGCACAAGCTAATTGACCAGAAACTGTCCTAATTTTTAACATCACTAATTCTAATCAGGAATTTTTCTTTTCAAATCTCTCCAGAAAGTTGTATAAACTAGAAGATAAAAGATCCCATGTCCGAGTCATCCGATATTTCCTTTATTTGGTCAAGCATGTGAAGAAAATATATTTTGTTTTCTCAAGCAGAACATAGTACAAGCAGAAAAAATTAAACTGGGATGTCAAATTCTTATCTCATTTAAAACATCAGGGGTATGTCTACATTAAAAGCTCTGTCACCTTAGGGATGAACTATGACAAAGTAGCTCATCACTATGGTGATGTAGCATCAGCAGACACTAGCTGTGATGCCACTGCTACTGCGCAGTAGCAATGAGCTCTTTGCTACTGCGCAGTAGCAGTGGCATCACAGCTACTGCGCAGTAGCAATGAGCTCTTTGCTACTGCGCAGTAGCAATGAGCTCTTTGCTACTGCGCAGTAGCAATGAGCTCTTTGCTACTGCGCAGTAGCAATGAGCTCTTTGCTACTGCGCAGTAGGGTCGGAAGCAACTAGTGTGCCACCAGTACTGCTCAGTACTGGTGGGTACTGTGCAGTTATTTAGTATTTGCTTTAACACAACAAGTGCTGTCTTCCTTTGCCTTTCCAGCTATGGCACACTGTACCAGTCACCCACATAGAAGTGTCTTGCAGGAGAAGCTGGGCATCTGTTCTGTCCCTTCTTCCCAGGCTGTTTCAAAGCAGCAAGTTCCAGACCCTTTCCATTTGTTGTATTATTAATAGTATCATCATCACTTTAGCAAGTACTAAATGACTGAAAAGTACCAACTGTACAGTGGAGTGCATGTGTAAATGTGCCCCATAGGTATGATACTTTTATCTGGAGAAATGCCTCAGGTATTCAGCCAGAATTACTTAGCCAGAATTTATAAATATATAAGTTGTTTTCATAAATTCCATATAATCTGTAGTTTACTGATGTATATCAGCAAATCTAATTGTATGCAGCATAGTTTTTAAGGTTGTTTTCATTCAGACTATTTAATTTTAAACTAACAATTTTTTTTTCCACACAGAGTAAAATTAAAATGTGGAACTCATTGCCATTAGATGTTGTAGAAATTGATAGTTTAACCAGATTCAAACAGAGATTGGACAAGTTCTTGGAGGAAAGGTGCTTCAGTAACTATTGAACATGGGAATCCTTCCTAGACCTTAAGTGCTGGATGCTGTAAGTGGAAGAGGAATGGAAGAAAAACCTGGTCAAACCCAGTTTACTATCCTTTTACTCTACCTTTCAGCATCCACCCTCTATCACTGTCAGTCCAGATAGAAAAGCCTCTTTTCTCTTGATCTGGCCACAGAAAGCAGTCTATATCTGTGACCAAATGTAAGTACCCAGCTGCAGATTGCTTCAAAAATGGCTGATTGGGTGAAATTGTGAACCCTCATTGCATGAGAGTTTAGATGAAGACATTTCAAAACAGAGGCATCTTCTGTAACTTGTGTCTGCACTGCCTGCCAGCCTGTCACTTTCAGAATGGGAGGGAGAAAAAAGAGCGGAAGGAGTTTGGTTTGGGTTTTTTTCAGCCCCTGCTGGAGGGTGGGATGGGTGTATTGGAGACCTCCTATCTCTGGGGAACCCCTAGAGAAAGGACAGGCAATTATTTTGGGTGGAAGGACATTTACTGAGTTTTGGCAAGCCATTGAGGGCTGCATGGCTAGCCCTGCTCCTTGATGGGTGCCCCACCCCGTGGTTGCTATCTTGGGACCAGAAGTCCCTCCCCCTGACCTTTGCCGCCAGAAGTCCCTCTCCTTGCCCCCCTGAATTACTCCTTTCAGCAAGGGTTTTTGCCATCTTTGAACCAGAAAAATACCAAATTATACTCTAAAAATCAAACACGTACTACAACATTCATTCATTTCATTAAAGAAAATTATGTCCTGATTTACATGTTTGTGTAGTGTACATAGGGATGATAGTATAATAGCTTAAAATGAAATCTTACTCTTGTATATTGTGGGAGGGTGTGGGTGGGAGGGTGGATATAGGTATGTGGGTATATGCAGTGTAGGGGGAGAGAGAGTGTGTGTGTGTGTGTGTGTGTGGGATTTGTGCGGGTGGTGGATAGGTGTGTGGATGTGTGTGGGTAGGTATGGGTTTTGTGGGGGGGCTGTGAGTGTGTGGGGGGGAGGGTGTCTGAGGAAGGTTGTGGGTTTCATGGAGGGGAGGGGTTTGCCCACAGCCTGTCCCCCCTCCTGTGCAGCAGGCAGAGCCCCTGCCAGTGCTCCTGCAAGCCTGAGCTCTGCCACTCCTGGCCTGGAGCACTGGTGTGGGTCCTGTGCTCCCACTTGCTGCCACTTCCCCCTATCTGCCACTGCTGCCCTTCTCCTGCCACTTCCCCATCCCTCCCTTACTGCCACTCCAGCACCAGGTCACAGCTGCTCCTGTGGTCCTTGCACTGCAACTGGGAACCACATGATGCTGGAGTGTGGTGGGCAGGGGGGTGAGTGGGGAAATGGCTGCGGCAGGTGGGGGGAAGGGGCAGCAAGTGGGCGTGTGGAGCACAGCAACAGCTGGGTGGGGGCATGGGGCCTCAGCAGGTGCACCAGGGCCAGTGCTGGAAGGGCCCAGAGTGGGATGGCAGGAGCACAGGGCCCAGGCTGGCAGGGTTCTATGGATCTGGGCTGTGCTGTTCAAGCAGGGAGAGGAGGGAGCCAGCCTGGCTCCAGAGTGCCCCTGGAAGCTTGGCCCCATGCTCCTACTGTCTCGCTCTGGGCCCCACCGGTGCTAGCTCCAGTATACCAGCATAGGCCCCACACTCCTTCCCAGCTGTCACTGTGTTCTGCATGCCTGCTCACTGCCCCTTCCCCCCCCACCTGCTGCAGCCATTTCCCTGCCTGCTCATCCACCCACTGGCTGGCACCAGGTGGTTCTCAGCTGCAGCACTGGGACTGCAGGAACTGGTTCAGCTGGCTCTGAGGATGGGGCAATTGCTCATGGTTCTCCCCTGCCTCCCTCCTCTGCTCCTTCTTACTGTATTTCCCTTGGGGCAGGGAGGCAGGAACAGTCCCAGGCCAGAAGCCTCCAGAAGCCCCTGCTAGGCAGAGGCTTTTGGCTGGGGTGGTTAGTTCTGCTGCTGGCTCCCCCTGGGTCCTACTGCCTCTGGCTCCTGTCATCTTTCATAGGCAGCCAGGGGTAGATAAATATTAATTTTCTACATTTTTAGGGGCCCTGTGACCCGGATAAAATGGCCTGGTGGGCCTTATTTTGTCCACCCCTGTCCTAGAACAAGCTCCCTCTGCTCCCTTTCCCCCCTCCAATTCTGAAAACAGGAACAGGCTGGGAGAAAGGAGGGGCCATTGCTAGAGGAAACCAGGTCCAAGCAGCTAGATTCCCCTTCCCCCTGGAACCAACAGTGAACTTTTGTTTGTTCCAGGGGATTGTTGTAACTCGGAACTCTTCCTGCAAAGTGTTCTCAGTTACAGTGGGGAGCTGCACTTCTTTATGTGCCCATGAAACAGGATAACGGGCAGGATGCACCTATGATCTGACTCAATAAATGACAGTTCTTATGCTCTTATATTCCCATTTTAATTTTAAAATTGGTTAATGTCTCTAATAGATATATTTTTTTTTTACACTTTTAAGGAACTGTGGCTATAGATCTACAGGATACAGGCTGTAGATCTTCCAGTGGGCCTACACTAGCTCTTCCCTCAGAAGGAAGTAAAGGGGGGAGAAGACCTAGCATAGCACCTGTCTTAGAGGTTGCAGACTCCTCTTCCCTTCAAACATGTGACCTTTTAAGTGACCAGTCAGAAGATGAAATTACTCCATCAGATGATGAAACTTCTGCAGGCTCAGAGTATGTATAAATAATGTCAACTATACAATACTATATTTAGAGGCTAATATTATAAATATCCAGCACATATTTAAGCTTCCATTGTAATCAACAGGCACCAGATTACAGGTCTAATTCATACCATTTGGTTTAATAAGAAACAAAGTGAAACTGATTTCTGGGTGATTATAGCAGATAAGACACCTGAGGACCACCGGTGAACTGATTTTTCTCTTTAGAAGTGAAATAATGTATTGGCTGAAGCTTTTTAAATTATCTACCTATCTAGTTACTGGACATCACTGATGTTCAGTAACAAAGATCTACTTGTGTCTTGAACTTTAAAGCTATTTCACATGTGCATAAACCTGTGAACCTGGCACTGCTACTCTATAGTGCATAATCATGGGAGTAGTTTTGGCAAGACTCAGCTGATGGTAACCAAGAATGAAAATTTCTGTCCTGAGAATGAAAATAAATTTAAAAAGAGGAAGGTCCATCCTGTGAAAAAAACGATTAACCTTTACAGGGGTAAC